CCTCTTTCCATCACCCCGCCCTGTTCTCCCGCTTTCAATCACCCCGCCCCATTCTCCCGCTTTGCATCAACCCGCCCCATTCTCCCTCTTTTCATCACCCCTCTCCATTCTCCCTCTTTCCATCACCCTGCCCTATTCTCCTGCTTTCCATCACCCCACCCCATTCTCCCTCTTTCCATCACCCCGCCCCATTCTCCCGCTTTCCATCACCCCGCCCCATTCTCCCTCTTTCCACCACCTGGCCCCATTCTCCCTGTTTCCATTACCCCTCCCCATTCTCCCTCTTTCCATCACCCCGCCCCATTCTCCCGCTTTCCATCACCCCGCCCCATTCTCCCGCTTTCCATCACCGCGCCCCGTTCTCCCACTTTCCATCACCCCACTCCGTTCTCCCGCTTTCCATCACCTCGCCTCGTTCTCCCGGTTTGCATGACCCCGCCCTGTTCTCCCACTTTCCATCACCCCGCCCCATTCTCCCCCTTTCCATCACCCCGCCCTAGTCTCCCGATCTCAATCACCCCGCCCCATTCTCCCGTTTTCCATCACCCCTCCCCATTCTTCCTCTTTCCATCACCCGGCCCTGTTCTCCCGCTTTTAATCACCCCGCCCTATTCTCCCGGTTTCCATCACCCCGCCCCATTCTCCCTCTATCCATCACCCTGCCCCATTCTCCCACTTTCGATCACCCCGCCCCATTCTCTTGCTTTCCATCACCCCGCCCCATTCTCCCGCTTTCCATCACCCCGCCCCAGTCTCCCGCTTTCCATCACCCCGCCCCATTCTTCCTCTTTTCAAAACCCCGCCCCATTCTCCCGCTTTCCATCACTCCGCCCCATTCTCCAGCTTTCCATCACCCCGCTCCATTCTCGCTCTCTCCATCACCCCGCCCCTTTCTCCCGTTTTCCATCACCCCACCCCATTCTCCTTCTTTCCATCACCCCGCCCCATTCTCCCTCTTTCCATCACCCCGCCCCATTCCCCCTCTTTCCATCACCCCGCCCCATTCTCCCTGTTTCCATCACCCCGCCTCATTCTCACGCTTTCCATCACCCCGCCCCATTCTCGCGCTTTCCATCACCCCGCCCCGTTCTCCCGCTTTCTTTCACCCCGCCCCATTTTCCCGCTTTCCATCATCCCGCCCCGTTCTCCCGCTTTCCATCACCCCGCCCTGTTCTCCCGCTTTCCATCACCTCGCCCCGTTCTCCCGCTTTCCATCACCTAGCCCCGTTCTCCCGCTTTCCATCACCCTGCCCCATTCTCTCCCTTTCCATCACCGCGCCCCAGTCTCCCGCTGTCAATCACCCCGCCCCATTCTCCCGTTTTCCATCACCCCTCCCCATTCTCCCTCTCTCCATCACCCGGCCCCATTCTCCCTCTTTCTATCACCCCGCCCTGTTCTCCCGCTTTCAATCACCCCGCCCCATTCTCCCGCTTTGCATCACCCCGCCCCATTCTCCCTCTTTCCATCACCCCGCCCCATTCTCCCTCTATCCATCACCCCGCCCCATTCTCCCGCTTTCCATCACCCTATCCCATTCTCCCGCTTTCCATCACCCCGCCCCATTTTCTTGCTTTCCATCACCCCGCCCCATTCTCCCGCTTTCCATCACCCCGCCCCATTCTCCGGCTTTCTATCACCCCGCCCCATTCTCCCGCTTTCCATCACCCCGCCCCATTCTCCCGCTTTCCATCACCCCGCCCCATTCTCCTGCTTTCCATCACCCCGCCCCATTCACCCTCTTTCCATCACCCCGCCCCATTCTCCCGCTTGTCATCACCCCGCCCCATTCTCCCGCTTTCCATCACCCCGCCCACCATCACCCCTCCCCATTCTCCCTCTTTCCATCACCCCACCCCATTCACCCTCTTTCCATCACCCCGCCCCATTCTCCCTCTTTCCATGACCCCGCCCCATTCCCCCTCTTTCCATCACCCCGCCCCATTCTCCCTGTTTCCATCACCCCGCCCCATTCTCCCTGTTTCCATCACCCCGCCTCATTCTCACGCTTTCCATCACCCCGCCCCATTGTCCCGCTTTCCATCACCCCGCCCCGTTCTCCCGCTTTCTTTCACCCCGCCCCATTTTCCCGCTTTCCATCATCCCGCCCCGTTCTCCCGCTTTCCATCACCCTGCCCCGTTCTCCCGCTTTCCATCACCTCGCCCCGTTCTCCCGCTTTCCATCACCCTGCCCCGTTCTCCCGCTTTCCATCACCCTGCCCCGTTCTCCCGCTTTCCATCACCTCGCCCCGTTCTCCCGCTTTCCATCACCTCGCCCCGTTCTCCCGCTTTCCATCACCCCACCCCATTCTCCCCCTTTCCATCACCCCGCCCTAGTCTCCCGCTCTCAATCACCCCGCCCCATTCTCCCGTTTTCCATCACCCCTCCCCATTCTCCCTCTCTCCATCACCCCGCCCCATTCTCCCTCTTTCCATCACCCCGCCCTGTTCTCCCGCTTTCAATCACCCCGCCCCATTCTCCCGCTTTGCATCAACCCGCCCCATTCTCCCTCTTTTCATCACCCCTCTCCATTCTCCCTCTTTCCATCACCCTGCCCTATTCTCCTGCTTTCCATCACCCCACCCCATTCTCCCTCTTTCCATCACCCCGCCCCATTCTCCCGCTTTCCATCACCCCGCCCCATTCTCCCTCTTTCCACCACCTGGCCCCATTCTCCCTGTTTCCATTACCCCTCCCCATTCTCCCTCTTTCCATCATTCCGCCCCATTCTCCCGCTTTCCATCACCCCGCCCCATTCTCCCGCTTTCCATCACCGCGCCCCGTTCTCCCACTTTCCATCACCCCACTCCGTTCTCCCGCTTTCCATCACCTCGCCTCGTTCTCCCGCTTTGCATCACCCCGCCCTGTTCTCCCACTTTCCATCACCCCGCCCCATTCTCCCCCTTTCCATCACCCCGCCCTAGTCTCCCGATCTCAATCACCCCGCCCCATTCTCCCGTTTTCCATCACCCCTCCCCATTCTTCCTCTTTCCATCACCCGGCCCTGTTCTCCCGCTTTTAATCACCCCGCCCTATTCTCCCGGTTTCCATCACCCCGCCCCATTCTCCCTCTATCCATCACCCTGCCCCATTCTCCCACTTTCGATCACCCCGCCCCATTCTCTTGCTTTCCATCACCCCGCCCCATTCTCCCGCTTTCCATCACCCCGCCCCAGTCTCCCGCTTTCCATCACCCCGCCCCATTCTCCGGCTTTCTATCACTCGCCCCATTCTCCCGCTTTCCATCACCCCGCCCCATTCTCCCGCTTTCCATCACCCCGCCCCATTCTCCTGCTTTCCATCACCCCGCCCCATTCACCCTCTTTCCATCACCCCGCCCCATTCTCCCGCTTGTCATCACCCCGCCCCATTCTCCCGCTTTCCATCACCCCGCCCACCATCACCCCTCCCCATTCTCCCTCTTTCCATCACCCCACCCCATTCACCCTCTTTCCATCACCCCGCCCCATTCTCCCTCTTTCCATGACCCCGCCCCATTCCCCCTCTTTCCATCACCCCGCCCCATTCTCCCTGTTTCCATCACCCCGCCCCATTCTCCCTGTTTCCATCACCCCGCCTCATTCTCACGCTTTCCATCACCCCGCCCCATTGTCCCGCTTTCCATCACCCCGCCCCGTTCTCCCGCTTTCTTTCACCCCGCCCCATTTTCCCGCTTTCCATCATCCCGCCCCGTTCTCCCGCTTTCCATCACCCTGCCCCGTTCTCCCGCTTTCCATCACCTCGCCCCGTTCTCCCGCTTTCCATCACCCTGCCCCGTTCTCCCGCTTTCCATCACCCTGCCCCGTTCTCCCGCTTTCCATCACCTCGCCCCGTTCTCCCGCTTTCCATCACCTCGCCCCGTTCTCCCGCTTTCCATCACCCCGCCCCATTCTCCCCCTTTCCATCACCCCGCCCTAGTCTCCCGCTCTCAATCACCCCGCCCCATTCTCCCGTTTTCCATCACCCCTCCCCATTCTCCCTCTCTCCATCACCCTGCCCCATTCTCCCTCTTTCCATCACCCCGCCCTGTTCTCCCGCTTTCAATCACCCCGCCCCATTCTCCCGCTTTGCATCAACCCGCCCCATTCTCCCTCTTTTCATCACCCCTCTCCATTCTCCCTCTTTCCATCACCCTGCCCTATTCTCCTGCTTTCCATCACCCCACCCCATTCTCCCTCTTTCCATCACCCCGCCCCATTCTCCCGCTTTCCATCACCCCGCCCCATTCTCCCTCTTTCCACCACCTGGCCCCATTCTCCCTGTTTCCATTACCCCTCCCCATTCTCCCTCTTTCCATCACCCCGCCCCATTCTCCCGCTTTCCATCACCCCGCCCCATTCTCCCGCTTTCCATCACCGCGCCCCGTTCTACCACTTTCCATCACCCCACTCCGTTCTCCCGCTTTCCATCACCTCGCCTCGTTCTCCCGGTTTGCATCACCCCGCCCTGTTCTCCCACTTTCCATCACCCCGCCCCATTCTCCCCCTTTCCATCACCCCGCCCTAGTCTCCCGATCTCAATCACCCCGCCCCATTCTCCCGTTTTCCATCACCCCTCCCCATTCTTCCTCTTTCCATCACCCGGCCCTGTTCTCCCGCTTTTAATCACCCCGCCCTATTCTCCCGGTTTCCATCACCCCGCCCCATTCTCCCTCTATCCATCACCCTGCCCCATTCTCCCACTTTCGATCACCCCGCCCCATTCTCTTGCTTTCCATCACCCCGCCCCATTCTCCCGCTTTCCATCACCCCGCCCCAGTCTCCCGCTTTCCATCACCCCGCCCCATTCTTCCTCTTTTCAAAACCCCGCCCCATTCTCCCGCTTTCCATCACTCCGCCCCATTCTCCAGCTTTCCATCACCCCGCTCCATTCTCGCTCTCTCCATCACCCCGCCCCTTTCTCCCGTTTTCCATCACCCCACCCCATTCTCCTTCTTTCCATCACCCCGCCCCATTCTCCCTCTTTCCATCACCCCGCCCCATTCCCCCTCTTTCCATCACCCCGCCCCATTCTCCCTGTTTCCATCACCCCGCCTCATTCTCACGCTTTCCATCACCCCGCCCCATTCTCGCGCTTTCCATCACCCCGCCCCGTTTTCCCGCTTTCTTTCACCCCGCCCCATTTTCCCGCTTTCCATCATCCCGCCCCGTTCTCCCGCTTTCCATCACCCCGCCCCGTTCTCCCGCTTTCCATCACCTCGCCCCGTTCTCCCGCTTTCCATCACCCCGCCCCGTTCTCCCGCTTTCCATCACCCTGCCCCATTCTCTCCCTTTCCATCACCGCGCCCCAGTCTCCCGCTGTCAATCACCCCGCCCCATTCTCCCGTTTTCCATCACCCCTCCCCATTCTCCCTCTCTCCATCACCCCGCCCCATTCTCCCTCTTTCTATCACCCCGCCCTGTTCTCCCGCTTTCAATCACCCCGCCCCATTCTCCCGCTTTGCATCACCCCGCCCCATTCTCCCTCTTTCCATCACCCCGCCCCATTCTCCCTCTATCCATCACCCCGCCCCATTCTCCCGCTTTCCATCACCCTATCCCATTCTCCCGCTTTCCATCACCCCGCCCCATTTTCTTGCTTTCCATCACCCCGCCCCATTCTCCCGCTTTCCATCACCCCGCCCCATTCTCCGGCTTTCTATCACCCCGCCCCATTCTCCCGCTTTCCATCACCCCGCCCCATTCTCCCGCTTTCCATCACCCCGCCCCATTCTCCTGCTTTCCATCACCCCGCCCCATTCACCCTCTTTCCATCACCCCGCCCCATTCTCCCGCTTGTCATCACCCCGCCCCATTCTCCCGCTTTCCATCACCCCGCCCACCATCACCCCTCCCCATTCTCCCTCTTTCCATCACCCCACCCCATTCACCCTCTTTCCATCACCCCGCCCCATTCTCCCTCTTTCCATGACCCCGCCCCATTCCCCCTCTTTCCATCACCCCGCCCCATTCTCCCTGTTTCCATCACCCCGCCCCATTCTCCCTGTTTCCATCACCCCGCCTCATTCTCACGCTTTCCATCACCCCGCCCCATTGTCCCGCTTTCCATCACCCCGCCCCGTTCTCCCGCTTTCTTTCACCCCGCCCCATTTTCCCGCTTTCCATCATCCCGCCCCGTTCTCCCGCTTTCCATCACCCTGCCCCGTTCTCCCGCTTTCCATCACCTCGCCCCGTTCTCCCGCTTTCCATCACCCTGCCCCGTTCTCCCGCTTTCCATCACCCTGCCCCGTTCTCCCGCTTTCCATCACCTCGCCCCGTTCTCCCGCTTTCCATCACCTCGCCCCGTTCTCCCGCTTTCCATCACCCCACCCCATTCTCCCCCTTTCCATCACCCCGCCCTAGTCTCCCGCTCTCAATCACCCCGCCCCATTCTCCCGTTTTCCATCACCCCTCCCCATTCTCCCTCTCTCCATCACCCCGCCCCATTCTCCCTCTTTCCATCACCCCGCCCTGTTCTCCCGCTTTCAATCACCCCGCCCGATTCTCCCGCTTTGCATCAACCCGCCCCATTCTCCCTCTTTTCATCACCCCTCTCCATTCTCCCTCTTTCCATCACCCTGCCCTATTCTCCTGCTTTCCATCACCCCACCCCATTCTCCCTCTTTCCATCACCCCGCCCCATTCTCCCGCTTTCCATCACCCCGCCCCATTCTCCCTCTTTCCACCACCTGGCCCCATTCTCCCTGTTTCCATTACCCCTCCCCATTCTCCCTCTTTCCATCACCCCGCCCCATTCTCCCGCTTTCCATTACCCCGCCCCATTCTCCCGCTTTCCATCACCGCGCCCCGTTCTCCCACTTTCCATCACCCCACTCCGTTCTCCCGCTTTCCATCACCTCGCCTCGTTCTCCCGGTTTGCATCACCCCGCCCTGTTCTCCCACTTTCCATCACCCCGCCCCATTCTCCCCCTTTCCATCACCCCGCCCTAGTCTCCCGATCTCAATCACCCCGCCCCATTCTCCCGTTTTCCATCACCCCTCCCCATTCTTCCTCTTTCCATCACCCGGCCCTGTTCTCCCGCTTTTAATCACCCCGCCCTATTCTCCCGGTTTCCATCACCCCGCCCCATTCTCCCTCTATCCATCACCCTGCCCCATTCTCCCACTTTCGATCACCCCGCCCCATTCTCTTGCTTTCCATCACCCCGCCCCATTCTCCCGCTTTCCATCACCCCGCCCCAGTCTCCCGCTTTCCATCACCCCGCCCCATTCTTCCTCTTTTCAAAACCCCGCCCTATTCTCCCGCTTTCCATCACTCCGCCCCATTCTCCAGCTTTCCATCACCCCGCTCCATTCTCGCTCTCTCCATCACCCCGCCCCTTTCTCCCGTTTTCCATCACCCCACCCCATTCTCCTTCTTTCCATCACCCCGCCCCATTCTCCCTCTTTCCATCACCCCGCCCCATTCTCCCTCTTTCCATCACCCCGCCCCATTCTCTCGCTTTCCATCATCCCGCCCCATTCTCCCTCTTTCCATCACCCAACCTTGTTCTCCCTCTTTCCATCACCCCGCCCCACTCTCCATCTTTCCATCATCCCGCCCCATTCTCCCACCTTCCATCACCCAGCCCCATTCTCCCTCTTTACATCACCCCGCCCCATTCTCCCGATTTCTACCACACCGCCCGATTCTCCCGCTTTCCATCACCCCGCCCCATTCTCCCTCTTTCCATCACCCCGCCCCATTCTCCCGCTTTCCATCACCCCGCCCCATTTTCCCTCTTTTCATCACCCCGCCCCATTCTCCCGCTTTCCATCACCCCGCCCCATTCTCCCGCTTTCCATAACCCCGCCCCATTCTCCCTCCTTTCATCACCCGCCCCATTCTCCCTCCGTCCATCACCCCGCCCCATTCTCCCTCCTTCCATCACCCCGCCCCATTCTCCCACTTTCCATCGGCCCGCCCCATTCTCCCGCTTTCCATCACCCCGCCCCATTCTCCCGCTTTCCATCACCCTGCCCCATGGTCCCGCTTTCCATCACCCTGCCCCATTCTCCCGCTTTCCATCAGCCCACCCCATTCTCCCGCTTTCCATCACCCCGCCCCATTCTCCCGCTTTCCATCACCCTGCCCCATTCTCCCTCCTTCCATCACCCCGCCTCATTCTACCTCCTTCCATCACCCCGCCCCATTCTCCCGCTTTGCATCACCTCGCCCCATTCTCCCGCTTTCCATCACCCCGCCCCATTCTTCTGCTTTCCATCACCCCGCCCCATTCTCCCGCTTTCCATCACCCCGCCCCATTCACCCGCTTTCCATCACCCCGCCCCATTCTCCTGCTTTTCATCACCCCGCCCCATTCTCCCGCTTTCCATCACCCCGCCCCATTCTCCCGCTTTCCATCACCCCGCCCCATTCTCCTGCTTTTCATCACCCCGCCCCATTCTCCCGCTTTCCAACACCCCGCCCCATTCTCCCGCTTTCCATCACCTCGCCCCATTCTCCCGCTTTCCATCACCCTGCCCCATTCTCCCGCTTTCAATCACTCCGCCCCATTCTCCCGCTTTCCATCACCCCGCCCCATTCTCCCTCTTTCCATCACCCTGCCCCATTTTCCCTCTTTCCATCACCCCGCCCCATTCTCCCGCTTTCCATCACCCTGGCCCATTCTCTCGCTTTCCATCATCCCGCTCCATTGTCCCGCTTTCCATGACCCCGCCCAATTCTCCCTCTTTCCATCACCCCTCCCCATTCTCCCTTTTTCCATCACCCCGCCCCATTCTCCCTCTTTCCATCACACCGCCCCATTCTCCTGCTTTCCATCACCCCGCCCCATTCTCCCTCTTTCCATCACCCCGCCCCATTCTCCCTCTTTCCATCACCCCGCCCCATTCTCCCGCTTTCCATCACCCCGCGCCATTTTCCCTCTTTCCATCACCCCGCCCCATTCTCCCGCTTTCCATCACCCCGCCCCATTCTCTCGCTTTCCATCATCCCGCTCCATTGTCCCGCTTTCCATCACCCCGCCTAATTCTCCCTCTTTCCATCACCCCTCCCCATTCTCCCTTTTTCCATCACCCCGCCCCATTCTCCCGCTTTCCATCACACCGCCCCATTCTCCCTCTTTCCATCACCCCGCCCCACTCTCCCGCCTTCCATCACCCCGCCCAATTCTCCCTCTTTCCATCACTCCGCCCCATTCTCCCTCTTTCCATCACCCCGCCCCATTCTCCCGCTTTCCATCACCCCGCCCCATTATCCCTCTTTCCATCACCCCGCCCCATTCTCCCTCTTTCCATCACTCCGCCCCATTCTCCCGCTTTCCATCACCCCGCGCCATTTTCCCTCTTTCCATCACCGCGCCCCATTCTCCCGCTTTCCATCACCCCGCCCCATTCTCTCGCTTTCCATCATCCCGCTCCATTGTCTGCTTTCCATCACCTCGCCCAATTCTCCCTCTTTCCATCACCCCTCCCCATTCGCCCTTTTTCCATCACTTCGCCCCATTCTCCCACTTTCCATCACCCCGCCCCATTCTCCCTCTTTCCATCACCCCGCCCCATTCTCCCTCTTTCCATCACCCCGCCCCATTCTTCCGCTTTCCATCACCCCGCCCCATTCTACCGCTTTCCGTCACCCTTCCCCATTCTCCAACTTTCCAGCACCCCGCCCCATTCTCCCTCTTTCCTTCACCCCTCCCCATTCTCCTGCTTTCCATCACCCCATCCCATTCTCCCTCTTTCCATCACCCCGCCCCATTCTCCCTCTTTCCATCACCCTGCCCTATTCTCCCTCTATCCATCACCCCGCCCAATTCTCTCGCTTTCCATCACCCCGTCCCATTCTCCCGCTTTCCATCACCCCGCCCCATTCTTCTGCTTTCCATCACCCCACCCCATCCTCCCTCTTTCCATCACCCCGCCCCATTCTCCCGATTTCCATCACCCCGCCCCGTTCCCCCGCTTTCCATCACCCCGCCCCATTCTTCCGCTTTCCATCATCCCGCCCCATTCTCCCGCTTTCCATCACCCCGCCCCATTCTTACTCTTTCCATCACCCCGCCCCATTCTTCCTCTTTCCATCACCCCGCCCCATTCTCTTGATTTCCATCACCCCGCCCCATTCTCCCACTTTCCATCACCCCGCCCCATTCTCCCTCTTTCCATCACCCCGCCCCATTCTTCCTCTTTCCATCACCCCGCCCCACTCTCCCGCCTTCCATCACCCCGCCCAATTCTCCCTCTTTCCATCACCCCGCCCCATTCTCCCTCTTTCCAACACCCCGCCCCATTCTCCCGCTTTCCATCACCCCGCCCCATTCTCCCTCTTTCCATCACCCCGCCCCATTCTCCCTCTTTCCATCACCCCGCCCCATTTTCCTGCTTTCCATCACCCCGCGCCATTTTCCCTCTTTCCATCACCCCGCCCCATTCTCCCGCTTTCCATCACCCCGCCCCATTCTCTCGCTTTCCATCATCCCGCTCCATTGTCTGCTTTCCATCACCCCGCCCAATTCTCCCTCTTTCCATCACCCCTCCCCATTCTCCCTTTTTCCATCACTTCGCCCCATTCTCCCGCTTTCCATCACCCCGCCCCATTCTCCCTCTTTCCATCACCCCGCCCCATTCTCCCTCTTTCCATCACCCCGCCCCATTCTTCCGCTTTCCATCACCCCGCCCCATTCTACCGCTTTCCGTCACCCTACCCCATTCTCCAACTTTCCAGCACCCCGCCCCATTCTCCCTCTTTCCATCACCCCGCCCCATTCTCCCTCTTTCCATCACCCTGCCCCATTCTCCCTCTATCCATCACCCCGCCCAATTCTCTCGCTTTCCATCACCCCGCCCCATTCTCCCGCTTTCCATCACCCCGCCCCATTCTTCTGCTTTCCATCACCCCACCCCATCCTCCCTCTTTCCATCACCCCGCCCCATTCTCCCGATTTCCATCACCCCGCCCCGTTCCCCCGCTTTCCATCACCCCGCCCCATTCTCCCGCTTTCCATCATCCCACCCCATTCTCCCGCTTTCCATCACCCCGCCCCATTCTTCCTCTTTCCATCACCCCGCCCCATTCTTCCTCTTTCCATCACCCCGCCCCATTCTCCCGATTTCCATCACCCCGCCCCATTCTCCCACTTTCCATCACCCCGCCCCATTCTCCCTCTTTCCATCACCCCGCCCCATTCTCCCTCTTTCCATCACCCCGCCCCACTCTCCCGCCTTCCATCACCCCGCCCAATTCTCCCTCTTTCCATCACCCCGCCCCATTCTTCCTCTTTCCATCACCCTGCCCCATTCTCCCGCTTTCCATCACCCCGCCCCATTCTCCCTCTTTCCATCACCCCGCCCCATTCTCCCTGCTTCCATCACCCCGTCCCATTCTCCCGCTTTCCATCACCCCGCGCCATTTTCCCTCTATCCATCACCCCGCCCCATTCTCCCGCTTTCCATCACCCCGCCCCATTCCAGCTTTCCATCACCCCGCCCCATTCTCCCGCTTTCTATCACCCCGCCCCATTCTCCCGCTTTCCATCACCCCGCCCCATTCTCCCGTTTTCCATCACCCCGCCCCATTCTCCCCCTTTCCATCACCCCGCCCCATTCTTCCTCTTTTCATCACCCCGCCCCATTCTCCCTCTTTCTATCACCCCACCCCATTCTCCCTCTTTCCATCGCCCCGTCCTATTCTTCCGCTTTTCATCACCCCGCCCCATTCGCCCTCTTTCCATCACCCCGCCCCATTCCCCCTCCTTCCATCAGCCAACCCCAGTCTCCCGATCTCCATCACCCCGCCCTATTCTCCCTATTTCTATCACCCCGCCCCATTCTCCCGCTTTCCATCACCCCGCCCCATTCTCCCGCTATCCATCACCCCGCCCCATTCTCCCGCTTTCCATCACCCCGCCCCATTCCCGCTTTCCATCACCCCGCCCCATTCTCCCGCTTTCCATCACCCCGCCCCATTGTCCCTCTTTCCATCACCCCGCCCCATTCTCCCTCTTTCCATCACCCTGCCCCATTCTCCCACTTTCCATCACCCCACCCCATTCTCCCACTTTCAATCACCCCGCCCCATTCTCCCCCTTTCCATCACCCCGCCCCATTCTCCCGCTTTCCATCACCCCGCCCCATTCTCCCGCTTTCCATCAACCCGCCCCATTCTCCCTCTTTCCATCACCCCGCCCTAATCTCCCTCTTTCCATCACCCCGACCCATTCTCCCGCTTTCCATCACCCCGCCCCATTCTCCCTCTTTCCATCAGCCTGCCCAATTCTCACGCTTTCCATCACCCAGCCCCATTCTCCTGCTTTCCATCACCCCGCCCCATTCTCCCGCTTTCCATCACCCCGCCCCATTCTCCCTCCTTCCATCACCCCGCCCCATTCTCCCGCTTTCCATCACCCCGCCCCATTCTCCCTCCTTCCATCACCCCGCCCCATTCTCCCTCCTTCCATCACCCCGCCCCATTCTCCCGCTTTCCATCACCCCGCCCCATTCTCCCGCTTCCCATAACCCCACCCCCTTCTCCTGCTTTCCATCACCCGCCACATTCTCCCGCTTTCTATCACCCCGCCCGATTCTCCCTCCTTCCATCAACCCGCCCCATTCTCCCGCTTTCCATCACCCCGCCCCATTCTCCCGATTTCCATCACCCAGCCCCATTCTCCTGCTTTCCATCACCCCGCCCCATTCTCCCGCTTTCCATCACCCTGCCCCATTCTCCCGCTTTCCATCATCCCGCCCCATTCTCCCTCCTTCCATCACCCGCCCCATTCTCCCGCTTTCCATCACTCCGCCCTATTCTCCCTCCTTCCATCACCCCACCCCATTCTCCCTCCTTCCATCACCCCGCCCCATTGTCCCGCTTTCCATCACCCCGCCCCATTCTCCCGCTTCCCATAACCCCACCCCATTCTCCCGCTTTCCATCACCCCGCCACATTCTCCCACTTTCCATCACCCCGCCCCCTTCTCTCTCCTTCCATCACCCCGCCCCATCCTCCCTCCTTCCATCACCCCGCCCCATTCTCCCGCTTTCCATCACCCCGCCCCATTCTCCCGCTTTCCATCACCCAGCCCCATTCTCCCGCTTTCCATCACCCCGCCCCATTTTCCCGCTTTCCATCACCCCGCCCCATTCTCCCGCTTTCCATCACCCTGCCCCAATCTCCCGCTTTCCATCACCCCACCCCATTCTCCCTCCTTCCATCACCCCGCCCCATCCTCCCGCTTTCCATCACCCCGCCCCATTCTCCCGCTTTCCATCACCAAGCCCCATTCTCCCGCTTTCCATCACCCCGCCCAATTCTCCCGCTTTCCATCACCCCGCCCCATTCTCCCGCTTTCCATCACCCCGCCCCATTCTCCCTCCTTCCATCACCCCGCCCCATTCTCCCGCTTTCCATCACCCCGCCCCATTCTCCCTCCTTCCATCAACCCGCCACATTCTCCCTCCTTCCATCACCCCGCCCCATTCTCCCGCTTTCCATCACCCCGCCCCATTCTCCCGCTTCCCATAACCCCACCCCCTTCTCCCGCTTTCCATCACACCGCCACATTCTCCCGCTTTCTATCACCCCGCCCCATTCTCCCTCCTTCCATCACTCCGCCCCATTCTCCCGCTTTCCATCACCCCGCCCCATTCTCCGGATTTCCATCACCCCACCCCATTCTCCCGCTTTCCATCACCCCGCCCCATTCTCCCGCTTTCCATCACCCCGCCCCATTCTCCCGCTTTCCATCATCCCGCCCCATTCTCCCTCCTTCCATCACCCCGCCCCATTGTCCCGCTTTCCATCACTCCGCCCCATTCTCCCTCCTCCCATCACCCCGCCCCATTCTCCCGCTTTCCATCAGCCCGCCCCATTCTCCCGCTTTCCATCACCCCTCCCCTTTCTCCCGCTTTCCATCTCCCCGCCCCATTCTCCCGCTTCCCATCACCCCGCCCCATTCTCCCGCTTTCCATCACCCCGCCCCATTCTTCCGCTTCCCATCATCCCGCCCCATTCCCCCGCTTTCCATCACCCCGCCCCATTCTCTCGCTTTCCATCACCCCGCCCAATTCTCCCGCTTTCCATCAGCCCGCCCCATTTTCCCGCTTTCCATCACCCCGCCCCATTCTTCCGCTTCCCATCATCCCATCCCATTCCCCCCCTTTCCATCACCCCTCCCCATTCTCCCTCCTTCCATCACCCCGCCCCATTCTCCCCCTTTCCATCACCCGCCACATTCTCCCGCTTTCCATCACCCCGCCCCATTCTCCCGCTTTCCATCACCCTGCCCCATTCTCCCGCTTTCCATCACCCCGCCCCATTCTCCCGCTTTCCATCACTACGCCCCATTCTCCCGCTTTCCATCACCCCGCCCCATTCTCCTGCTTTCCATCACCCCGCCCCATTCTTCTCCTTCCATCACCCCGCCTCATTCTACCTCCTTCCATCACCCCGCCCCATTCTCCCGCTTTCCATCACCCTGCCCCATTCTCCCGCTTTCCATCACCCCGCCCCATTCTCCCGCTTTCCATCACCCCGCCCCATTCTCCCGCTTTCCATCACCCCGCCCCATTCTCCCGCTTTCCATCACTACGCCCCATTCTCCCGCTTTCCATCACCCCGCCCCATTCTCCTGCTTTCCATCACCCCGCCCTATTCTTCTCCTTCCATCACCCCGCATCATTCTACCTCCTTCCATCCCCCCGCCCCATTCTCCCGCTTTCCATCACCCCGCCCCATTCTCCCGCTTTCCATCACCCCGCCCCTGTCTCCCGCTTTCCATCACCACGCCCCATTGTCCCGCTTTCCATCACCCCGCCCCATTCTCCCTCCTTCCATCACCCTGCCCCATGCTCCCGCTTTCCGTCACCCCGCCCCATTCTCCCGATTTTTATCAGCCCGCCACATTCTCCCACTTTCCATCACCCCGCCCCATTCTCCCTCCTTCCATCACCCCGCACCATTCTCCCTCCTTCCATCACCCTGCCCCATTCTCCCTCCTTTGATCACCCCGCCCCATTCTCCCGCTTTCCATCAGCCCTCCCCATTCTTCCTCCTTCCATCACCCCGCCCCATTCTCCCGCTTTCCATCACCCCGCCCCATTCTCCCTCCTTCCATCACCCCGCCCCATTCTCCCTCATTCCATCACCCCGCTCCATTCTCCCGCTTTCCATCACCCCACCCCATTCTCCCGCTTTTCATCAGCCCGCCCCATTCTCCCGCTTTCCATCTCCCCGCCCCATTCTCCCGCTTTCCATCACCCCGCCCCATTCTCCCGCTTTCCATCACCCCGCCCCATTCTTCCGCTTCCCATCATCCCACCCCATTCCCCCGCTTTCCATCACCCCTCCCCATTCTCCCTCCTTCCATCACCCCGCCCCATTCTCTCGCTTTCCATCACCCCGCCCCGTTCTCCCTCTTTCCATCACACCACCCCATTCTCCCGCTTTCCATCACCCTGCCCCATTCTCCCTCCTTCCATCTCCCCGCCCAATTCTCCTGCTTTCTATCACCCAGCCCCATTCTCCCTCCTTCCATCACCCTGCCCCATTCTCCCGCTTTCCATCACCCCGCCCAATTCTCCCTCTTTCCATCACCCCTCCCCATTCTCCCTCTTTCCATCACCCCGCCCCATTCTCCCGCTTTCCATCACCCCGCCCCATTCTCCCTCTTTCCATCACCCCGCCCGATTCTCCCGCTTTCCATCACCCCGCCCCATTCTCCCTCTTTCCATCACCCTGCCCCATTCTCCCTCTTTCCATCACCCCATCCCATTCTCCCGCTTTCCATCGCCCCGCCCCATTCTCCCGCTTTCGATCACCCCGCCTCATTCTCCCGCTTTCTATCACCCCGCCCCATTCTCCCTCTTTCCATCACCCCGCCGTATTCTCCCTCTTTCCATCACCCCGCCCCATTCTCCCGCATTCCATCACCACGCCCCATTCTCCCGCTTTCCATCACCCCGTCCCATTCTCCCGCTTTCCATCACCCCGCCCCATTCTCCCTCTTTCCATCACCCTGCCTCATTCTCCCTCTTTCCATCACCCTGCTCCATTCTCCCGCTTTCCATCACCCCGCCCAATTCTCCCGCTTTCCATCACCCTTCCCCTTTTTCCCTCTTTCCATCACCCTGCCCCACTCTCCCGCTTTCCATCACCCCGCCCTATTCTCCCTCTTTCCATCACCCCGCCCCATTCTCCCGCTTTCCATCACCCTGCCCCATTCTCCCTCTTTCCATCACCCCGCCCCATTCTCCCGCTTTCCATCACCCCGCCCCATTCTCCCTCTTTTCATCACCCTGCACCATTCACCCTCTTTCCATCACCCCACCCCATACTCCCGCTTTCCATCGCCCCGCCCCATTCTCCCGCTTTCCATCACCCCGCCCCTTTCTCCCGCTTTCCATCACCCCACCCCATTCTCTCGCTTTCCATCACCCCGCCCCATTCTCCCGCTTTCCATCACACCGCCCCATTCTCCCGCTTTCCATCACCCCTCTCCGTTCTCCCTCTTTCCATCACCTCGCCCCATCCTCCCTCATTCCATCACCCCGCACCATTCTCCCGCTTTCCATCACCCCACACCATTCTCCCGCTTTCCATCACCCCGCCCCATTCTACTGCGTTCCATCACCCCGTCCCATTCTCCCGCTTTCCATCACCCCGCCCAATTTTCCCTCTTTCCATCACCCCGACCCATTCTCCCTCTTTCCATCACCCCGCCCCATTCTCCCCCAATCCATCACCCCTCCCCATTCTCCCGATTTCCATCACCCCGTCCCATTCTCCCGCTTTCCATCACCCCGCCCCATTCTCCCTCTTTCCATCACCCCGCCCCATTCTCCCCCAATCCATCACCCCGCCCCATTTTCACTCTTTCCATCACCCCGCCCCATTCTCCCGCTTTCCATCACCCCGCTCCATTCTCCCGCTTTCCAACACCCCACCCAATTCTCCCTCTTTCCATCACCCCTCCCCATTCTCCCTCTTTCCATCACCCAGCCCCATTCTCCCGCGTTCCATCACCCCGCCCCATTCTCCCTCTTTCCATCATTGCGCCCCATTCTCCCTCCTTCCATCACCCCGCCCCATTCTCTCGCTTTCCATCACCCCGCCCCATTCTCCCGTTTTCCATCACACCGCCCCATTCTCCTGCTTTCCATCACCCCGCTCCATTCTCCCGCTTTCCATCAACCCGCCCCATTCTCCCTCCTTCCACCACCCCGCCCCTTTCTCCCGTTTTCCGACACCCCGCCCCATTCTCCCGCTTCCCATCACCCCGCCCCATTCTTCCGCTTTCCATCACCCTGCCCCATTCTCCCTCCTTCCATCACCCCGCCCCATTCTCTCTCCTTCCATCACCCCGCCCCATTCTCCCGCTTTCCATCACCACGCCCCACTCTCCCACTATCTATCACGCCGCCCCATAGAGATAGGCGCCCATAGAGATAGGCACCCATAGAGATAGGCGCCCATAGAAGTAGGCGCCCCTAGAGATAGGCGCCCCTAGAGATAGGCGCCCATAGAGATAGGCGCCCATAGAGATAGGCGCCCATAGAGATAGGTGCCCCTAGAGATTGGCGCCCATAGAGATCTGCGCCCCTAGAGATAGGCGCTCCTAGAGATAGGCAACCCTAGAGATAGGCGCCACTGGAGATAGGCGCCCCTAGAGATAGGCGCCCATAGAGATAGGCGCCCATAGAGATAGGCGCCCATAGAGATAGGCGCCCATAGAGATAGGCGCCCATAGAGATAGGCGCCCATAGAGATAGGCGCCCATAGAGATAGGCGCCCATAGAGATAGGCGCCCATAGAGATAGACGCCCATAGAGATAGGCGCCCCTAGGCGGCCCTAGAGATAGGCGCCCATAGAGATAGGCGCCCATAGAGATAGGCGCCCATAGAGATAGGCGCCCCTAAAGAGAGGCGCCCATAGAGATAGGCGCCCCTAGAGATAGGCGCCCATAGAGATAGGCGCCCATAGAGATAGGCGCCTATAGAGATAGGTGCCCCTAGAGATTGGCGCCCATAGAGATATGCGCCCCTAGAGATAGGCGCTCCTAGAGATAGGCGCCCCTAGAGATAGGTGCCCCTAGAGATAGGCGCCCATAGAGATAGGCGCCCCTAGAGAAAGGCGCCACTAGAGATAGGCGCCCCTAGAGATAGGCGTCCATAGAGATAGGAACCCCTAGAGATAGGCGCCCATAGAGATAGGCGCCCATAGAGATAGGCGCCCATAGAGATAGGCGCCCATAGAGATAGGCGCCCATAGAGATAGGCGCCCATAGAGATAGGCGCCCATAGAGATAGGCGCCCATAGAGATAGGCGCCCAAAGAGATAGGCGCCCCTAGAGATAGGCGCCCATAGAGATAGGCGCCCATAGAGATAGGCGCCCCTAGAGATAGGCGCCCCTAGAGATAGGCGCCCATAGAGATAGGCGCCCATAGAGATAGGCGCCCATAGAGATAGGCGCCCATAGAGATAGGCGCCCAAAGAGATAGGCGCCCAAAGAGATAGGCACCCATAGAGATAGGCGCCCATAGAGATAGGCGCCCATAGAGATAGGCGCCCATAGAGATAGGCGCCCCTAGAGATAGGCGCCCATAGAGATATGCGCCCCTAGAGATAGGCGCCCCTAGAGATAGGCGCCCCTAGAGATAGGCGCTTCTAGAGATAGGCGCCCATAGAGATAGGCGCCCCTAGAGATAGGCGCCACCAGAGATAGTCGCCCCTAGAGATAGGCGCCCATAGAGATAGGAGCCCATAGAGATAGGCGCCCAAAGAGATAAGCGCCCATAGAGATAGGCGCCCATAGAGATAGGCGCCCATAGAGATAGGCGCCCCTAGAGATTGGCGCCCATAAAGGTAGGCGCCCCTAGAGATAGGCGCCCCTAGAGATAGGCACCCATAGAGATAGGCGCCCAAAGAGATAGGCGCCCATAGAGATAGGCGCCCCTAGAGATAGGCGCCCATAGAGATAGGCACCCCTAGAGATAGGCGCCCCTAGAGATAGGCGCCCCTCGGGATAGACGGCCCTAGAGATACGTGCCCCTAGAGATAGGCGCGCATAGACATAGGCGCCCCTAGAGATAGGCGCACATAGAGAGAGGCGCCCCTAGAGATAGGCGCCCCTAGAGATAGGCGCCCCTAGAGATAGGCACCCCTAGAGATAGGCGCTCATAGAGATAGGTGCCCATAGAGATAGGCGCCCTTAGAGATAGGCCCCCCCCAGAGGGATAGGCGCCCCTAGAGATAGGCGCCCTCAGAGATAGGCGCCCCTAGAGATGGGCGCCCACAGAGATAGGCGCCTCTATAGATAGGCGCGAGGCGCCCATAGAGATAGGCGCCCATAGAGTGGGCGCCCATAGAGATAGGCGCCCCTAGAGATAGGCGCCCATAGAGATAGGCGCCCATAGAGATGGGCGCCCATAGAGATAGGTGCCCCTAGAGATTGTCGCCCATAGAGATATGCGCCCCTAGAGATAGGCGTTCCTAGAGATAGGCGCCCCTAGAGATAGGCGCCCCTAGAGATAGGCGCCCATAGAGATAGGCGCCCCTAGAGATAGGCGCCACTAGAGATAGGCGCCCCTAGAGATAGGCGCCCATAGAGATAGGCGCCCCTAGAGATAGGCGCCCATAGAGATAGGCGCCCATAGAGTGGGCGCCCATAGAGATAGGCGCCCCTAGAGATAGGCGCCCATAGAGATAGGCACCCCTAGAGATAGGCGCCTCTATAGATAGGCGCGAGGCGCCCATAGAGATAGGCGCCCATAGAGTGGGCGCCCATAGAGATAGGCGCCCCTAGAGATAGGCGCCCATAGAGATAGGCGCCCATAGAGATGGGCACCCATAGAGATAGGTGCCCCTAGAGATTGGCGCCCATAGAGATATGCGCCCCTAGAGATAGGCGTTCCTAGAGATAGGCGCCCCTAGAGATAGGCGTTCCTAGAGATAGGCGCCCATAGAGATAGGCGCCCCTAGAGATAGCCGCCCCTAAAGATAGGCACCCCTAGAGAAAGGCGCCCCTAGAGATAGGCGCCCCTTGGGATAGACGGCCCTAGAGATACGTGCCCCTAGAGATAGGCGCCCCTAGAGATTGGCGCCCCTAGAGATAGGCACCCCTAGAGATAGGCGTCCATAGAGATAGGCCGCCGCTAGAGATAGGCGCCCCTAGAGATAGGCGCCCCTAGAGATAGGCGCCCATAGAAATAGGCACCCATAGTGATAGGCGCCCCCAGAGATAGGCGCCCCTAGAGATAGGCGCCCATAGAGATAGGCGCCCATAGAGATATGCGCCCCTAGAGATAGGCACCCATAGTGATAAGCGCCCACAGAGATAGGTACCCCCTAGATATAGGCGCCCCTAGAGATAGGCGCGCATAGAGATAGGCGCCCATAGAGATAGGCGCCCTTAGAGATAGGAGCCCCTAGAGATAGGCGCCCCTAGAGATAGGCGCCCCTAGAGATAGGCCCCCCTAGAGATAGGCGCCCCTAGAGAAAGGCGGCCCTAGAGATAGGCGCCCCTAGAGATAGACACCCTCAGAGATAGCCGCCTCTAGAGATGGGCGCCCATAGAGATAGGCGCCTCTATAGATAGGCGCGAGGCGCCCATAGAGATAGGCGCCTATAGAGATAGGCGCCCATAGAGATAGGCGCCTCTAGAGATAGGCGCCCCTAGAGATAGACGCCCCTATAGATAGGCGCCTCTAGAGATAGGCGCCCCTAGTTATAGGCGCCCATAGAGATAGGCGCCCCTAGAGATAGGCGCCCCTAGAGATAGACGCCCCTATAGATAGACGCCCATAGAGATAGGCGCCCCTAGAGATAGGCGCCCATAGAGGTAGGCGCCAATAGAGATAGGCGCCCCTAGAGATATGCACCCCTAGAGATAGGCGCCCATAGAGATAGGCGCCCATAGAGATCGGCGCCCTTAGGGATAGGAGCCCATAGAGATAGGCGCCCCTAGAGATAGGCGCCCCAAGAGATAGGCGCCCTCAGAGATAGGCGCCCCTAGAGAAAGGCGCCCCTAGAGATAGGCGCCCCTAGAGATAGGCGCCCCTAGAGATAGGCGCCCCTAGAGATAGGTGCCACTAGATATAGGCGCCCCTAGAGATAGGCGCCCATAGAGATAGGCAACCTTAGAGATAGGCGCCCATAGAGATAGGCGCCCATAGAGATAGGCGCCCATAGAGATAGGCGCCCATAGAGGTAAGCGCCTCTAGAGATTGGCGCCCATAGAGATGGGCGCCCTTAAAGATAGGAGCCCCTAGAGATAGGTGCCCCTAGAGATAGGCGCCCCTAGAGATAGGCACCCCTAGAGATAGGCGCCCCTAGAGAAAGGCGCCCCTAGAGATAGGCGCCCCTAGAGATAGTTGCCCTCAGAGATAGGCGCCCCTAGAGATGGGCGCCCATAGAGATAGGCGCCTCTATAGATAGGCGCGAGGCGCCCATAGAGATAGGCGCCCATAGAGATAGGCGCCCCTAGAAATAGGCGCCCCTAGAGATAGGCGCCCCTATAGATAGGCGCCTCTAGAGATAGGCGCCCATAGAGGTAGGCGCCCATAGAGATAGGCGCCCCTAGAGATAGGCGCCCCTAGAGATTGGCGCCCATAGAGATAGGCGCCCAAAGATATAGGCGCCCTTAGGGGTAGGAGCCCATAGAGATAGGCGCCCCTAGAGATAGGCGCCCCTAGAGATAGACGCCCCTAAAGATAGGCGCCTCTAGAGATAGGCGCCCATACAGGTAGGCGCCCATAGAGATAGGCGCCCCTAGAGATAGGCACCCCTAGAGATAGGCGCCCATAGATATAGGCGCCCATAGAGATCGGCACCCTTAGGGATAGGAGCCCATAGAGATAGGCGCCCCTAGAGATAGGCGCCCCAAGAGATAGGCGCCCTCAGAGATAGGCGCCCCTAGAGAAAGGCGCCCCTAGAGATAGGTGCCCATAGAGATAGGCGCCCCTAGAGATAGGTGCCACTAGAGATAGGCGCCCCTAGAGATAGGCGCCCATAGAGATAGGCAACCTTAGAGATAGGTGCCCATAGAGATAGGCGCCCATAGAGATAGGCGCCCATAGAGATAGGCGCCCATAGAGATAGGCGCCCCTAGAGATAGGCGCCCATAGAGATAGGCAACCTTAGAGATAGGTGCCCATAGAGATAGGCGCCCATAGAGATAGGCGCCCATAGAGATAGGTGCCCTTAGAGATAGCCGCCCCTAGAGATAGGCACCCCTAGAGATAGGCGCCTTTGGAGATAGGCGCCCCTAGAGAAAGGTGCCCCTAGAGGTAAGCGCCCCTAGAGATGGGCGCCCATAGAGATAGGCGCCCCTGGAGATAGGCGCCCCTAGAGATAGGTGCCCCTAGAGGTAAGCGCCTCTAGAGATTGGCGCCCATAGAGATGGGCGCCCTTAGAGATAGGAGCCCCTAGAGATAGGTGCCCCTAGAGAAAGGCGCCCCTAGAGATAGGCGCCCCTAGAGATAGTCGCCCTCAGAGATAGGCGCCCCTAGAGATGGGCGCCCATAGAGATAGGCGCCTCTATAGATAGGTGCGAGGCGCCCATAAAGATAGGCGCCCATAGAGATAGGCGCCCCTAGAAATAGGCGCCCCTAGAGATAGGCGCCCCTATAGATAGGCGCCTCTAGAGATAGGCGCCCATAGAGGTAGGCGCCCATAGAGATAGGCGCCCCTAGAGATAGGCGCCCCTGGAGATAGGCGCCCCTAGAGATATGTGCCCCTAGAGGTAAGCGCCCCTAGAGATGGGCGCCCATAGAGATAGGCGCCCCTGGAGATAGGCGCCCCTAGAGATAGGTGCCCCTAGAGGTAAGCGCCTCTAGAGATTGGCGCCCATAGAGATGGGCGCCCTTAGAGATAGGAGCCCCTAGAGATAGGTGCCCCTAGAGATTGGCGCCCCTAGAGATAGGCACCCCTAGAGATAGGCGCCCCTAGAGAAAGGCGCCCCTAGAGATAGGCGCCCCTAGAGATAGTCGCCCTCAGAGATAGGCGCCCCTAGAGATGGGCGCCCATAGAGATAGGCGCCTCTATAGATAGGCGCGAGGCGCCCATAGAGATAGGCGCCCATAGAGATAGGCGCCCCTAGAAATAGGCGCCCCTAGAGATAGGCGCCCCTATAGATAGGCCCCTCTAGAGATAGGCGCCCATAGAGGTAGGTGCCCATAGAGATAGGCGCCCCTAGAGATAGGCGCCCCTAGAGATAGGCGCCCATAGAGATAGGCGCCCATAGATATAGGCGCCCTTAGGGGTAGGAGCCCATAGAGATAGGCGCCCATAGAGATAGGCGCCCATAGAGATAGGCGCCCCTAGAGATAGGCGCCCCTAGAGATAGGCGCCCATAGAGATAGGCGCCCATAGATATAGGCGCCCTTAGGGATAGGCGCCCATAGAGATAGGCGCCCCTAGAGATAGGCGCCCATAGAGATAGGCGCCCATAGATATAGGCGCCCATAGAGATAGGCGCCCTTAAAGATAGGCGCCCATAGAGATAGGCGCCCATAGAGATAAGCGCCCATAGAGATAGGCGCCCCTAGAGATAGGCGCAATCAGAGATAGGCGCCCCTAGAGATAGGCGGCCCTAGAGATAGGCGCCCCTAGAGATAGGCACCCCTAGAGATAGGCGCCCCAAGAGATAAGCGCCCCTAGAGATAGGCGCCCATAGAGATAGGCACCCATACAGATAGGCGCCCTTAGAGATAGGCGCCCCTAGAGATAGGCGCCCCTAGAGATAGGCACCCCTAGAGAAAGGCGCCCCTAGAGATAGGCGCCCCTGGGGATAGACGCCCCTTGAGATACGTGCCCCTAGAGATAGGCGCCCCTAGAGATAGGCACCCCTAGAGATAGGTGTCCATAGAGATAGACCCCGCTAGAGATAGGCGCCCGTAGAGATAGGCGCCCCTAGAGATAGGCGCCCATAGAGATAGGCGACCATAGAGATAGGCGCCCCTAGAGATAGGCGCCCATAGAGATAGGTGCCCATAGAGATAGGCGCCCTTAAAGATAGGAGCCCCTAGAGACAGGCGCCCATAGAGATAGGCGCACATAGAGATAGGCGCCCCTAGAGATTGACACCCCTAGAGATAGGCGCCTATAGAGATAGGCGCCGCTAAAGATAGGCGCCCATAGAGATAGGCGCCCCTAGAGATAGGCGCCCATAGAGATAGGCGCCCTTAGAGATAGGCGCCCCTAGAGATAGGCGCCCCTAGAGATAGGCGCCCATAGGGATAGGCGCCCAAAGAGATAGGCGCCCACAGAGATAGGCGCCCAAAGAGATAGGCGCCCATAGAGATAGGCGCCCCTAGAGATAGCCGCCCCTAGAGATAGGAACCCCTAAAGATAGGCGCCCCCAGAGATAGGCGCCCTTGGGGATAGACGCCCCTAGAGATACGTGCCCCTAGAGA